GGAGGCTCCATCTCCAAAATCGCCTTTACCTTTTCCGGGTTAGGCTCGATCCCTCTCCGGCTGACCATATGTCCTAGGAATTTACCCCCCTGCACCCCAAATGTGCATTTCTTGGGGTTAAGGCGAAGCTGGAACTTCTTCATGATCTTGAATACTCTCTCCAGGTCGCCAGCATGAGACTCCGTCTGTTTGGACTTGACAATCATGTCGTCCACATACGCTTCCATGCACCCCCTAGTACCGGCGCGAACAACTTGTTCACCATCCGTGTATAGGTCGCCCCAGCATTCTTCAAACCAAAGGGCATCACCTTTTAACAGTATACCCCACTCGAGGGTGATGAAAGCGGTCTTTTCTTCATCCGCCACTGCCATCTTGATCTGATGGTACCCACTGAATGCGTCCATGAAACTCATCAGCTCGCATTCTGCCGTCTCATCAACCAACTGATCAATGTTGGGGAGAGGAAAAGGATCCATTGGGCAAGCTTTATTTAGATCAGTGTAATCGACGCACATCCGCCAGGTATTCCCTTTGGGTGCGTGGACTACATTTACCAACCATTCCGGGTAGCGGACTTCCCGGATGTGCCCAATGGATTGCAGGGTGGTCACCTGCTTGGTGACAAACTCTCTCCGTTCTGAGGAAAGGAAATGCCTCTTCTGTTTGACCGGCTTGTGGGTCGGATCCACTGCCAATCTATGGCAGATGATTTTTGGGTCGACCCCTGGCATATCCTCTGGTCCCCAAGCGAATAGCACCTTGAATGCTCGGAGGACCTCCAATAACTACTCCTTTAATTCAAGCGGTAAGGTTTTGCCTACCTTCACCTTCCGCTCTGGCTCAACTGGGTCCAAAGAAACTTCCTCGACCTCTTCCGCCGGCTCAGCTCGGGGTCGCCCCTCCTCCTTCTAGATCGCCGCACAGATCGTGCTCACATTCTCGTCGACTCGGGCTTGGCTTTTGGTCGCCCTGATGTAGCACGACCGTGACAGGCTCTGGTTCCCCTTTGCTACTCCCACCCCTGTGGGAGTGTTGAACTTTAGGCATAAGTGGACGGGGGAGATTACGCACTCCAGGTCCTCCAACCCTGGTCGTCCCAGAATCAGATGGTGTGCACAGTCGAGCTGTACTACCATAAATTCCATGTCGACCCAGAGTCGGTGGGTGCCATCTCCTACCCCGGCCTTTACC